CGCCGACGTCCCAGCGTTAGCTACACACTTACTGTTTCAGTACACAGGAACAGGTATTTACACAAAATCGCGGCATCAAATATTGTAGGACGGGGCATCTATAACGGTTGTAACTGACTTTATAACGATTATAGCCTCTCTCCCAGTACGTCGTGGATGCCAGAGCTGCCGCGAGCGCAGCCATCGTTGAACTTGATGCTATAGCCATGAGGCTTCTGGCGCATTCTGATGAGCGCTTTGAGACATTATATATTATTCAACATTTTAATTTACTACTGGTTTAGGTATTTCGTTTAATTGTTTTCGCTCTTTCGCGCTCGAAGTATAACTCCTGTATGTTGTATGTTTTTTTTTTCTTAATTTTTTATTCTGCGCTCAGTGGTGTATGCTTCAGCAAGAGACGCTTGGTAACATTGATTGAAAAGGAGCGAACGTCCTGGCTGGAGAGTAGGTCCGCCTCACCTCGGGGCGCGGTTCGAGGTTAAGCCCGGATCCCGCTTGCAAAGGTGCGTACAGAGTCTCCCATAGCATGGAGACATTGTTACCCATTTGAGAATATATTTAGCTACTGCAGTTCAACTGCTATAGCCTCGGGTCTTTAAAGGGAAGCTAAAGAGGTTCTTGGAAAAAAACGAGTTTGAAGTGAATTGTAAGTAAGGTATTTTTATCTCGTCAATCTGAATATCAGGTTTGCTTTCTCCGAAGATGTAACTGAACACGAGAAAACACGAAAACCCCCCGACCTGTCGTTACGTAGCAAAAGGGTATTTCGGCCGCCATTTAAGAGCATGACGCTCGTGTGAGCAGCGCGGGCAATTGCGAACTTTCCAGGTATATCCACCCCACCGATACCAGTCGTGATGTCTTTTTCTGACCTGTTTGAGAATAGCAAGAGTGCGCGTGCCTATAGCTTTGATAGGCGCTGAAGATGCGTGATGGTGGAGATTCTGAAAACTCGCTTTATGACGTAACGCTTGGGGAAGGAGGGGCTTCAGTAGTACTTTGCAAAGGATTTTCTGCAACCTCCGCGCATCAAATTGAAGAAAAAAAAAACTCTGGATATTCGTGATCCTAGAGGCCAAATGACGACGGTTTTACTCAAATACAGAACCGCTTCAACTTCCCTCTAACGTGCATTATGACGTAGCGATACTGCAGGCCGGCGCGATGACCATCCAGTTCGAAACGGGCAGCGGTGGGGATTGAACCAGGACCCCTTCAGTCTCGAATAATGAAAATGTGCGCCTAAAATTATTGGCCTGATTAAATTGTTTATATTGCTAAAAAATTCACCTGCCAAACATTCGATCAGAACACACTTTTTTATCGTGTCCTCAATTCTGCACGTTGTGCCTTGAGTCTCTTCAAATAAAAAAAAAAATGTTTGAAACAATTTGTTTGAGAAATCTTCATAAAACACACAAAATGCAGCCCGTTGACTAATTTACAACAGGAGCCATACTCTTTACTCTACTTGGTGGGAGCTCCAAGAATTCTTCACTTTACTTTGTACTCCAGGAAGCAGTTGTTTTCAACTGTGAGACAAAGGAAAACGTTGCACTTACGGCAACGAATGCGACTTTTCCCCTAGCAGCCCTCGCGTCGGCACCTGTGAGCAAAGGAGGCTCTCACGTGTTCCGGCCAGTGACTCTGTTCATCATAGCGCACGGTGTTGGTAGGCAAAGCTTCTGCATTATGAGGCTTCTTAGACGGTTGGGTGGTCTCGAGGCTAGGACGTCCTCTCTTCTCCTGGGGCGCCTTGCTAGATGAGATGAGGCTTTGTGCAACGTCCATGTGAGAAGCCAACATGTCTTTTGTTGCTTTTTTTCGGGAGTCTTTCTTCGCTTGCATCTCTGATATATTCCAGCCAGCTGATGGACAAGCCAAATGAGATGAAGTGGGAAATGACACGGACAGTCCACTTCCTCGTCCTGGTCCGGATTGTGTACAGGGACATGATAAAGTCCAGTTTGTCCACTCCTCCCATGAACTTGTGCTCCAGTACAACCTCAGGGTATTCTATTTCTACGTGCTCTTTCTTCGCTTCACTCCAGCGCTTTACCGTCCCTTTCTCGCCAACCCCGACACGTGTTGAAGCCATGTTTACTATCCCGTTGTCTTGCCAGCGCACGATCACCACATCTCCGTCTTCAGAGATTTTGCTTTCAATGGTTTCCCTTCCTTCCTTTCGCATTTCTTTCTCGCTTTTGAGTGCGCATCCAAATAGCCGGTTGGATCGGATGGTACCGGTGCTGAGTATCCCCACTGTTTTCAGCTCCTGCAGGAGCCTCACAGAAGTAAAGTAATTGTCGAAGTAGCAAGAGAGGTTTTAGCCTTTTGGTAGACTTTCAGCTAGCCTCATGACGACTGAACCACCCAGTCCAAAATGGGCGTATTTTGGATCCACACCAGTCCCCTTCCCCTGATAGAACTCGAAGTCGTGTGCTACCCCCGTCCGTGCTGCACCGCATTAACACCTTCACCCACCCCCTCGGGAATTAGTTCGTTGCGAACAAACTGTTTGGCTGCGACCCTCCCAGTGAAATCAATCATTTGCTCACCTATACTGTTTTCTTCCACTGGCTTTACTTCAAAGCAGCGAAGGCGAACGGCCTCGAGGATCGGGCGGACTTTGCAGAATTTGTCAAGATTTTTCGGGTCAGTGGCTGTTTGAGTCTGTAATGTGGAGTGCTGATCTGATCTTGAAAAAGCGGTTCACTGCCATGGAGTCCGCCAGCATTGGGATCCTCGTTCTAGCCTGCCAGTACATCCTAATTCTAGGATACTTCAGGGCTCCCATTGCCATTAGGATCCCAAAGAAGGCCTTGACTTCTTGTGGCGTTGTTCCCAGCTCTTTTCTGCTTCTTTGAAGGGACTAGATGTTAGTGAATTCTGCCTGTTGCTCAAACAGACTCTCCGAAAAGTACCTCATGAAGTACTCTGGTGGTTTTAGTGGTGTTGAACCCCTTTCATTTGATAAGTGCAGTCCTGAGCGCCCGGAGTGAAATCTCGCGCAGACCACTGAATGTGACCTTTTGGGAGGGCTGGCGGAGAAATATCGGCCGGCGACGCTGGTATTGATGGTCCTGCCTCTGAGTCGTGAAGGGCTTCCTGAAAGGTGTTAGAGAAATTATATGCCATAAAAAGTACTGCGACGTGATAAACTGTCTGCTTAGTAGCTACTTACCTCAGCTGCAGGCTCCAGATCTCGGAACTCGTCGTCGGACAGGCCGCCATCGGAGATGTTGCCGTCGGCGATCCTTTCAAATAACTCTTGTGCTGATTGTTCTTCAACTTTCCGTCGTTCTCGAGCATGTGCACGAAGACCTGTTTGTTAAAATAAAACCCAGTAGATTGTAAAAGCGTGCTATACTGAAATTCGCATCCGCGCCAACAAATCTCAGTTGTAAGGATTGGCGCACAACGTCCACGAGCGAGGACGCCAAAACACGCTGAATGATAGCTTTGAATTACATTCACATAAAATCCTGTAACCTACTTCAAAGTCATCCACACAACTTTCTAAACGTGTCGGAAGCTTAAATTTATCACTCAGACTGACTGTCCATGTTTTCCCTCCAAACTTTCAATGGTTCGCTTTCCCACTCATAGATGACGCCAGCCGTTCTGTTCCCCGTTCCGCGCGTCACCAGACGTGCACGCCGCGTCTCAATCGCGTCAAACAATGCTCCTTCGAGATAAAAAATCTAGAAAGTTGTGTTCACGTTTGTGGTCAGCGTGCCTGAAGGGGTTAAGTTTAGCATCGCGAGCTTTACCTGGAGAATACAGACTCGTTGCTCTGGGGCAGGGGTCGCGAGTGCGTCCTCAAGACGCGAGCATGTTATGCTGGTTGTACTATCTACGCGGAGCTGTAACGTTCGATTGTGTACAAGCCATGTTTGAATACAAGCATATCTGAGCAGCTGTAGATGCGCGATAACAAAACGGTCTAAGAAAAAAAAAAGGAAAACAAATGCAGCTTGCGGCCACAGCGTCCAATTAAACGTTGCTATACCTTTAATATTTGTATTGCTTTCTTTCATAGCTTCCGCGAGCACGTGTGTTTCACTCAACGAGGTAGGGGCTTCACCAGGGCTTAAAGTCTGGGGGGTCTCAGGGGGTCTCGGACCCCCCACTGATTTGAACGGATCGTCTGAGACCCTCCTCCACCGACCCAGCATTAGTCAAATCAAAATCCTATCTTGCAATAATATAGCTTGTTTTCAGGAATGTGACATTTCGGGATTAGAAATATGAGGGTTGCAGGTACAGCGTGGGCAAAGTCAGCAGTGGGGTTTATTTTATGTGCATGTTATACATCTCGTAAGAGCCCCAAACCCCCCCCCCCCCCCCCTTTACAGCCTCTTGTAGGGACCCCCCCAACTTATGGGAGACTTTAAGCACTGGGCTTCACCGTACGTGATAGCGAAGGCGAAGCTTGCAAAAGCACGCGCGCACACTGCATGAGCGCGTGTGCTTGACTGACGCATTGAAGGCTTGGAGCTCGCTCTTGTAGCCTCTGCTACGCTGGCATGTATAATGAAACGGACTACGAAAAACCTGTAGTGGGGAAGCGTTATGACGAACGTTCGAAACGCGAGCCAAAAATATTCTATTTCCTTGCCTGGAGCGCTGCTCAAAACTTGAGCGCTACGGGCCTATATCAACCCTATATACTCCGTTTAGCTTTAAGTGCAAGTGAGGCCGAAGCTACAAGCGCGAGCATGTGACCCTGAACAGAGCTTACACTGCATGACCGCGAGTGTTTAACAAAGACGCTGAAAGCCCGGAGCTCGCTCACGTAGCTTCCGCCACGCTCACACTTATAGATAAAGAGCATAGGTTGCTGCTTCTCCACCAAGAACACATCAAGTAGAAGAAAACAAAGAAGTAGTACTAGTCACGAGAAATGGAGCACGCGCCCTCTCCCAGTTGCACGACCTTCTCATCCACCGCGCCTCCAATACTCGAACAGTGGTGCCAACGGTCCCAGCGTCAAAATGGCGAATTCCGCGAAGTTCCTATTTCTTCCTGCTGTGAACACGAGCGGACCCGATGCGAAGGCCAGCGTGGCCCCTCCGACCTTGGAACCCGCAGGAGGCATCTGCCCCGCCTGGCTCAACACCAACCACATCCTTTTTCAAATCGCCAACCTCTTCTTACTGCTGTCCTATGTTACTCCCGGAGGACCGTACACCTTACTCTATCTGCGGGTCGTCATCGGTCTGGGCTCCTTCTTCTACGCGCTCTGGGGCTACGTCATCCTGTGCGCTTTCGACACACTCCTGTGGAACGCCCTCTTTGCGCTCATCAACCTCGTCCACATCATCGTGCTCGTCCGCGGCTTACAGCCCGTCTCGTTCTCCGCCGAGCTGGAGACGGTCTTCGAAGACCTCTTCCGACCGCTGGGGGTGACGCGTCATCAGTTCCGGGGCATCGCCGACAGCGTCAGAGGAACTCGAGATCTCAGCAAACGGGATCAGTTAGTCGTCGAAAAGGTCTCCCGCAACGATAACCTTTCCCTCGTGGTCAGCGGCGACCTTTTGGTGTCAAGGAAGCGGCGTCCCGTCGAGATGGTCGGTAAGTACGAGTTCCTCGAGTCTTCCGACTGGTTCGACGTCCCCGAGAGCGACCTGTACCAGGTGACCGCAACCGCGCTGGGAGCCTGCAGGGTCGTGGTGTGGAAGAGGGAGACGCTGAAGGTGGCCGTCGGCGATGACCCTTTTCTGAAGTCAGTCTTCAATAACCTTGTGGGCAAGGATCTGGCGCGCAAGTTCTATGCGGCGAAGAAGTCAAGACAATTCGGCGTCGTTTTGGACGAACTGCTTTCCCCCGTGTCATCATCATCATCATCATCATAATTCATTATTCCTTGAAGGCTCAGGGGGCATTAAGCAAGGGAGTAAACACTTCAAAAAACAAACAAACAACTATTTATCAACAAAGCCACGCTGCAATCTAGTTATAGGTTAGAAAAAATGAGCTAATGGCTGCAGAAAATTTCTTAGTGTCAGATAAGGGGACAATTACGTCAGGCAGCGAGTTCCAGTCGTCAATGGCCAATGGTAAAGTAGACATTTGGTGAGTGACGGTTGACAATGAAATCAAACGGAGTTAGTTTACAAGAATGGTCGAGACGAGAGAAATTGAGGTAAGGAGGCGATAGCAAACTTTGTCTTAGATGACTGTTGTAATAAAAGATCCGATGAAAAAGAGAAAGACGAGACACCCCGCGGCGGTGAGAAAGTGTGTCAAAATTAGCTGATTGGCGAAATCCTGATATGCTTGCATAAGGCGAATAGTCGGAATAAATCAAACGGAGGGCTCTGCTTTGAACGGATTCCAGGTTGTCAGTTAGGTATGCCTGACACGGTGACCATATGGAAGAAGCGAATTCTAGTTTAGTTCTGACCAAGGTAGTGTAAGCTAGCTGCTTTACTGGGGATGTAGCTTCTCTGAGGTTACGGCGAAGAAATACGAGAGTGCGCTTAGCATTGGCGATGACCGATGTTATATGAGTGGTCCATGACAGGTCAGATGTCAGGTGAATTCCTAGGTATTTATACGATGAACAAGAAGTTGCTGGGATGCTAGAAAGTTGGTAAGAGGAGGATAGAACATGTGAACTGCGGGAAAAAGATAGCGATTTACATTTATTATAGTTTAGAGTCATTTGCCATTTATGACACCACTGAATTATAAGTTGGAGATTGTTCTGCAAGATTAGTTGATCGTGGCGTGAATGAATCGGCCTATAGATGACACAGTCATCGGCGAACAAACGTACTTCAGAAGTGATGCCATGGTGGAGATCAATAATGTAGATTAAAAAAAGGAAGTGCCCAAGGACGGTTCCCTGAGGGGCGCCAGATGTTACTGTGCTGGTGGTAGATTTTACATTGTTAATAGAAGTGTACTGAGTGCGATTGATGAGGTATTCCGAAATTCAAATGGCTACAGAGGGGCGAAGATTAATATCTATTAGTTTCATGAAAAGACGTTGATGAGGACCTTGTCAAATGCTTTGTAGAAGTCAATGAAGATGGCGTCAGTTTGAACACTGGAATCGAAATTTGAGTGAACGTCAGTTAGAAATGCTTTAGCTGAGTTTCGCATGAGTATGACTTGCGAAATCCGTGCTAGTGCCTGAAAAGGAGGTTATAAGAGTCTAGAAAGTTTATTATGTTAGAATAGAGAATATGCTCCAAGAGTTTGCATGAAACGGTGGTGAGCGAGATGGGACGAGTTGCTAATTAGTTGACGATCGCCTGTTTTATGAACGGGTATGACGTTAGCAATTTTCTAATCGGACGGAACTTCAGAGAGTTTAAAAGATTAAGAAAATATGTCGCAGAGGAAAGTGGAAGAAATGTATTTAGTGTTTTTTAATACCTTAGAGTTAATTTGGTCATCCCCGGAGTTGGAAGGCACCTTCAGTTGATCTATCGCCTTAAGTACTCCAGTGCGGTCAATTAAGATAGGATTCATAAGAGGGTGAATGGATTGGCACGAGTCGGGAATATTTAGCAAGTCCTCGTTAGTAAAGGTGGAGCAGGAGAAATTGTTAAGGTGCAACCCCACCCTTGGTTAGTGTGATTCTGAACCAATAGATGGCGGTGGGATCGCCTTCCAGGCTTGTACATCAATGCGAGAAATCGTGCGTGGTGGCGCTTCGATACAATGGGGTATATTTCTATGTCCTGAATTTGACATCCCTGGTCCCTGGCTTGTTCTTCTCTGCACGAGCTTTCTTTGGAGCGCGCACGGCTGCGCCAGTTCTCGTGCAAGGGGGCCAATTACCTACGCTCCGAGCTCACGTCTCCAGCAAATGTGGGCGGAAAAAAACGCGAAAATCATCCTGAGCCAAATGACGAGACACATGCATAACAAAACCACCGACGCGATGAAAAATATAAAATTGCCCGTGCGCCGCTATTGGATATTTCAGAGACCAATTACACATATTTCAATGTGATCAGATTTATATTGTCACGAATGAAGGTGACGAGAGGACGAGCAGTGAACTTAAAAATAAAAGTTTTATCGGCGAACTTGTCCCAAACAAAAAAAGTAAAGAAAGAGCGTCGAGGCCGGCAGCAGAAACATGGCGGCGAAGCGGCAGCGTAACAGAGAGCGAGAGCGAGACTGACTCGACAATGTCGCGGGCAGCTGCTTATCTACAGTGCGTCACTATCTCGAAAGTTCGGCAAAGAAAGTTCGAGCGTCACGTGCTCGGGGCGAGGATGAACTGGCACTTTCGAGAACAAGAAATCAGGGCGAAAGTTAAGTCTTGTGCAAGAATGAACGCGAATCTTCTAGAAGTCCGTGACCGAGCGTTGCTTTCTCGGCTCCGCGGGCGGCAACGAGACGGGCCGGCCTTTTTGTCGTGCATGTGTTCGGCTCTTCGTGGACTTCCAGGAAAGCGTGATGACGTGATAGACATGGGTTTCCAAAATTCTAGCTTGAGAAATTAACTACCTAAAATATCAAAACAAATTAACTATTTTTTGGGCGGTCAGGTGTCTCATTTAGGTAGCTGGGTGTCTAGTTTGACCAAAACCACGAGACTGGAAAACACAAAAATGACACTCAGGTTTAGATGTTGAGTTTGGTAAACCCAAAGCAGGACTGGTGCGGGAGTCATAATAAAAAAAAAAAAAAATGCCGAGGTTAATAATTCACTCACAGCAATAAATTATAATAATTAATTTTAATACGAATCCAGTGATAAATGTATGACTGGCCAGGCAAAGATTCTGGATCTGTGGATAGCTTTTGCACATAGCTTAAGCAATGTACAGTCTGTCAAAAAAAATTATAGGATTTTTTTTTTTTTTACCGCAAGACTAAATTAGGCATCGCCAAACGCTCATTCTCCGCCCAAAGGTAGCGCTAGAGGTCACAACGAGATGTCAAAGTTTTAGCCCGATCCGATACTTTATTCAAAAGTTATATAAGTGATTTTCTGAAAAGTTCAATGGGAAAATAACAGCCGACGTAGTTTTCGAATGCATGGGGCTTTATGGCACCAGAAACCGAAAACGGGCAAAAACGGGCTCCATTTTCCTAATGAAATTTTCATAAAATCCCATAACTTTGGCATCTGGTGTGACCTAGTGCTGCCTTTGGGCGGAGAATGAGCGTGAGGCGATGCATAGCTAATTTTTGCGGTAAAAAAAAAGTAATTTTTTGGTGACACCCTGTACCAGTCTTCATTTGGTGATTTATGCGCGCAAGTAGTAGTGTGCATAATTAAAAAAGATGCAAACGGGTAGAGTATGACGTTGCAAAAAAATGCAGTGTAAGCACGCACATCGTACGCTGATTAAGGCTGCGGTCCCACGGCAGCCATCTTGAACAAGGCGTTAGTTCAACCAATAGATGGCGACGACACGCACCCGAGGGTGGCCGAAACATTGGTTCGCAGTGGGATGGCTCGAGCACCATCACGTTCCCCTCGTGGCCTTGCTCGCGCCGCTGCCAGCTGTGCTCAGCTAGCTCAAGTAGCGTGGCCCATCAAACGGATGTATGCGAGAATGTCAGGCTGGGTATAAATTGTTCTCTGATATAGGGAGATTCGGTCGGCGGTTGTAACGGTTTTTCGCAATAAATCTTACCATGAAGGAATCAAATGTTGATTGACGTGTCAAGATTCTATCAATGAAAATTTCCTCTGCAGGAATGCACGCTCAGTAGACTCAATCTTCCAAGACACCAGTGGAAGCGGACGTCAAGTAAACTGCCTCGCGATTTACGGTACTTACCTTACCATTTTAATGACGACTAAAATAACGTCACGAAATATTGTGTTTCACGGGATCAAGATGTTGTAAAGGCTGTTACATTATAGTTCCCAGAAAACAAACGCCGTTGCAATATTTTCGGAAGTACCGACACACATAATGTTGTAACTACAGCTTAGGAGGAATATGATAAAAACCATCAGAAGAAATAGGAAGACGTTTATTTGCAATGAAGACGCTATAAATGAGCGGCGTTTAGCGACGGCAAGTTATGAGCGTTCGGGAATTTATAAGTTGACGTGATTGCTAACTATGGACATGCGGACAATGAAGACCAGTTTTGTCGGGAGATGGTGTTGCGGTGATGACCTGATATCGGACGACTCATGGCAGACGAACAAGCAAGTTTCTTCTCAGCGAATGGTAAGTGTCCAGTGTCAAGCACAACACGTGGCTACCGACGTTGTCAAGGTTTCGAACACTTACCGCTTTCGACAAAAGTCCTGGCACCTGGGCTAACTTTGTGGAAAGACTCGAAGTCTTCCTTGAGTCCAACGCCATCATGAACAGTAACTGAAAACGATCCACTATTTAGTCGGTGGGTGGCGAAACGTATCCACATCTGCGGAGTCATGGTCGATGCGCACTCTAAGTGGCTGGAAGTTTACAAGATGCCTGCCACTACGTCCAAACACGTCATTGACGTTCTACGGTCTCTTTTACCTACTTTTGCCCTACCGAAAATACTTTTCTGTGAAAACGCGCCAAATCTTGCTTCAAATAAAATAATCAAGTTTTTGAAGAAAAAAAAAAAACCGGCATCAGGCATCACATTAGTGCACCATACCATCCTGCAACTAACGGGCAAGCAGAACAGACTGTGTGCGAAACGAAAAAAATCCATTTTGAAGCTTCCGCAAGAAGCAGTTCAGTGAAGAATCGCCAGGTTTTTGTTCCGGCAGCACGCGTCGGTCTCATCTCACACGGAAAAAAATCCGCCAAAGCAATATTCGGCGGACGAAGAGCCACACCCCTCAACAAAGATCGAGAGATACCCACATTGGGAGTAATGGCAGCTTATTCGGTCGGACAACTCGTCTACGTGAGGAATTTCAGCG